ACTTTTACCCATTATAGTAAGCACGATTTCAATATCACAATCAAGCAATAAATCTCAGATAGCAGAAATAACACACTGTTGCGATGTGCATGCATATCTATACTTCCTGAATATGTGGGTAAAAGAACAACACTGCATGACGCCTGTTCCTTGCTCCTGAAGTCTCTGCATTCTCGACAAAGGTGATGGGAAACATGCCTTCCAAAGAAAAACTAAGGAAGTCTCCTGAACAACACAAGCAATGCATGACACTGGTTGACTGTACCATGCTTTCAGTCCTACTTTATTGATTAGTGAAAGGCTGAACTAATAAATGCAGCCATACACCTTGATGATAATGGTAGTTGGACATCTCAGCAAAGTTTGCTCCAGCATTTTCCTTAATTACTTGCTTTCAATGGTTTTGGATAGAATATACAAGATGGAGCCACTATCAGAACTCATGCCAAATGTACTATTGTTCTGTTTTGTGTCTGGCAACTGGCATGCGTCAGATTTTTTTAATGGGCCATGCAGACTTAAGCTAGCCCCACGGAGTATGTGGAACTTGTGCTATGCAATGACTGCTTCATATAATTATGTGCCTCCTGTCTGCCAGATACACGATTGGGTTATTGTTTTGCCGGCAGTTTTAACTTTGGTGTTTTTTTCTTTGGCATACTTGCAGCCTGTAAGGAGTCCTGTTACAATCTGTGGTGATATTCACGGGCAGTTTCACGATCTTGCGGAACTGTTCCGAATTGGTGGAAAGGTACAAGTTCTCTTGTTCATGTTCCTTTGTGCCACCTTCTTGAGTCATCTATAGTGAAGTCTGATCTTCACTATACTGACATCTTCTCTGTTTTTATCAGTGTCCGGATACAAATTACTTGTTTATGGGAGATTATGTAGATCGTGGCTACTATTCTGTTGAAACTGTCACGGTAAGAGTTAATGAGCAATATCTGCTTGTAGCTTAGCAAGAAATTTGTGATATGTTTGATACTAATAGTAGCTCTTGTGACTAATGTAACCTTGAAATATACAGCTGTTGGTGTCTTTGAAAGTTCGTTATCCTCAGCGAATCACCATTCTTAGAGGAAACCATGAAAGCCGACAGGTAGATTATCATGCTCCTACGAAGCTTCTAATGTTCTTTTTTTTTTTACATATTTCAGTTCCATTACATTTTTTAAACATTGACAAATTTCACTGAATAATTTTGGCATTTGCAGATCACTCAAGTTTATGGATTCTACGACGAGTGCTTAAGGAAGTAAGTGTCTTTGTTTGTATATGATGTATATAATCTAGTAGTAAAATAATAAGATGCCTCAGATTATGGTTCCGCTTGTCGTATCTGAGATAAAGCTGGCAACATTAATTGCAGGTATGGAAACGCAACTGTGTGGAAAACCTTTACGGATCTGTTCGACTACTTCCCCTTGACAGCATTGGTATGTATTGCACTTCTGCAGCATTTCCATTGATGGAATGACCTATATGTCAAGTTTTTTTATACGTTATCTAGTGAAATTGACATGCAAACATTTCATAGGTTGAGTCGGAAATATTTTGCTTGCACGGTGGATTATCACCATCCATTGAGACACTTGATAACATACGTAACTTTGACCGCACGCAAGAAGTTCCTCATGAAGGGCCCATGTGTGATCTTCTGTGGTCTGATCCCGATGATCGATGCGGTTGGGGTATTTCTCCTCGAGGCGCTGGATATACCTTCGGACAGGTATTTCTTGGTACAGAAAATTCTTGTTTGCTCAATGTACTATGCCAATATTTAGGTCAGTTTTCCACTGACCTTGCAACTCCTATCATTTCAGGATATATCAGAGCAGTTCAATCATACCAATAACTTAAGACTTATTGCTAGAGCTCACCAGTTGGTGATGGAGGGATTCAACTGGGCTCATGTTAGTATCTGCTCCTGAGTTCCACACTTGTTTTTGTCTCTCGTCCATACTATATCTAGTTAACACATTACTGCATTAAACAGGAGCAAAAAGTGGTCACCATATTTAGTGCACCTAATTATTGCTACCGCTGTGGAAACATGGCATCAATCTTGGAAGTTGATGATTGTCGGGAGCATACTTTCATCCAGGTACATTATACACATCTCATTTCTACATTTGTTCTGGTAGATTTGATCATTATATATAAATGCTTAAAAATGAAGAATTATGTACCCTAAGTGACATAAGTAACTGAAGTGGTTAGGTGATGGGCAGTTAGACACTGATACATGGATGAGTAGATGAAAAATGAGATTGGCAGATTATTTTCCAGTGTACATATTTCTGATACGAATAGGAGGACCTGTTGGCATAAGTGTTCGGTTGATATAACAGTATGGCCAATTTGAGGACCCATAGGAAGTCTAACCAAAATGTTTGACCAATGCTTTTCTCCTTTCACAAATTGGATCTTTTTGCACGTCTAGGATTTTCAGTCATTGAGTTGTTGTGATTTTGTGATTCTGCAGTTTGAGCCGGCCCCGAGAAGGGGAGAGCCAGACGTAACTCGTAGAACGCCAGACTATTTCCTGTGATGATGCGAAATCGGTGTGGACCTCTGCACCAAAGGTCTGATAACTAGCTGAAGTTTCATGGCTGCAGATAAATCTTTTTGCTGAAAATCATCAACCTCCTGTGTGTTATTCTTCTTAATTTTTCCGCCCATGATGCCCCTGGCTGTTTGCGAGCCGCTTCGCCGCATCGTGATCAAAGTGTATACCTACCTACCTACCTACCTACCTACAGCTGGAAGGATCCATTGTGTTACTCACCTCTCTAACTGAGCTTGAGCATCGAGCAGCGTTTGTATTGTGA